AATAATCATAATATTCCAATTTTAAATGTTTTTAAAAAAAATTATGTGGTTCCAACCTGGTCTCCAAAGTCCTCTGGAAATTTCCACAATATCACAGGATCTGTAAATAATTGACACACATCATTAAAAAGGCAAAAGAATACATTTAAAGAAACAGTCTTGTTAAAATACTCAAAAGTGTCAAAGCTACATTAATTATAATTTTTAATTTTTCTTTAAATATTTACAGTTGATGAGGTTCACGTCTTTTCCTCTATTGAATGTAATATTCCTATCTTTTAAAGGTTTTAATGACCTTCAGAATAGGAACAGATGAAATTAAGAACTTGATCATGTTGTTAAAAATCATTATTTCTTTCAGCAACTCCATTTTTTATTTATATACCTATACCTTAGATTTTAAGACACTGAACTTTGAATTTTCAATTTTAACTACACTTACAAAAATATTGGTTTTAATTTAAAAATAAAAATATAAACATGATAAATATGTAATCACATATATTATAGCCCTCAAGAACTAGACCAAAATATACCTTAAATTTCCATTTAAATCCCAATTAAGAATTTATGAAAACTGTAATGTTTGCTGCTTTATATCAGTTTTTAAATCCCATATTTGTAATTTTAAAATCATTTTTTAAAATAATAGATAAGTTCATAGTTAGATATAAGGCAGCTTATCTAAAATATAATTGATATTTGCAGAGTATTTCAGAGAAATTTTTCTAATGTTATACCTAGTAATTGATGTATATAAATCAACATTGTTTTATAAGATTCACACTGGTTTTTCATTTTCATTACTTCTTATAAAACTCCTTTTCTACTTAGTATATACATAGATCTTAGTTTTAATTAGCACCAGTAAATGTTTTGGTCATGTATTTATTTTTTAATTCTGTCAAAAACAAACTTCTGAATACTTCAAATGTGTTTTTAAAAGATAGGATAAAATGAATTAGTATTACTTCTGATAAAATCTCTGAAAGCCCTAATATGAGTGATTAGTATCACTGATACAATAGCGTTTGAAGTCCACTCCAAGTTAAAGGACTTGGTGGATCAAAAATGCCACTTTATGGTGGATAACACCAAGGTCAAGGGTTCAGATCCTGTATAAAAACATATATATATCACTTTATGTGCCCAATCAGTGAAAAATTACAGGTCTGTTCCATTATTTCTACTATTCTATACTGCTTTTTTAAAAGTACAATCCAAAGATGCATAATTTCAAAAATTTTAATTGCAAAACTCAAGTCTCTAGGAACATTTTTAGCATGAGCTGGCTCCTCTTTTGTTTTTACTTATGTTCAACAGAATTTTTTCAAATATTTTAATTTTAAAAGAAAAGAAAATTGTTGTAAAAAAATAATTGTTTTCTACAATTAAACTTTTTAGCCTGTCCGGGTACCCAGGGTATGGAGAAGGGGACCAGACCCCCTCTCCCACAATCAGGCTCACCATGCCAGCTCTTTGGGGCCTGCCCAGGGACCAAAGGCATGGAGAAGGGGACCGGACCCTGCTCCCACAACCGGGCACACCTCGCCAGCGCCTCAGGGCCCACCCGGGGACCCGGGGTAAGGAGCCGGGGATCGGACTCTCTCCACAAACAGGCACACTGCCAGCACCAAGAAGCATGCCAAAAACATCTCCTCCATGTGGGTGGTCCACCACAGCCACCATGATAGCCATGGCTGCCGCTAAGGCAGCTAGACGCCACAACCACCATGCAGATGGTCCACCAGCCACTGGAGGGAGTTGACACAAGGAGAGTCACCAGCAGAGATAAAGAAAGGAGGAGGATGTCTCTGTCCACCGCGCCCATTTCAGAGTGACGGAAGAGGCATCTGCTCTATGATAGTATCGGGGGACCTGATCAC